TGCCTACAAGTTCATCACGGGGGCACAGAAGGGAATTGGTGAGTATTTACTCGCCAAGGCGCCCCCGGGGGTTACAAGAAATAATGGCCACAAGCTAGCAGAGAGCAGATTTAGATTGGACATTAGGAAGAACTTCTTCACAGTTCGAGTGGCCAAGGTCTGGAACGGGCTCCCAAGGGAGGTGGTGCTCTCCCCTACCCTGGGGGTCTTCAAGAGGAGGTTAGATAGGCATCTAGCTGGGGGTCATCTGAACCCAGCACTTTTTCCTGCTTATGCAGGGGGTCGGACTCGATGATCTATTGAGGTCCCCTCCGACCCTAACATCTATGAATCTATGAAATTAATGTTAGGGTTTTGTGAACCTACTTCATATAATGCCAAACCCAAGCAGTTATAGGTCTAGCATTCCAAATTTTATTACTTTCTTATTCAGTCAGTTTCTATTCCTCCTCCTTGAAAAACAAGCAAAACAAACAAAAACTTCCAATTTTGAGCCTCAAAAGTTGTATGTTGTGTAACTCGGGACTTCCTCGTGTGCATTTGTATTTGTTGTATTTACCCAGTAGATTTCTGAGTACCTGAAAACCTTCAAGAGTAGCACAGTGTCCTTCAATTAAGAATATTGTGTGAGATGGTCCAAAAATGTTTTGTTTTTTCCCCCCTCCTGCCTTAGTAGAGTGTAGGGGAAGATTAGCCATCTGTCTCACTCCTTCTAACATTACAAAAAATGTTAGAATTCTGTCCAATATCTCATTCCAAAGGATGTTGGAAGCGTCCCTTTATTCATTCTTCTGAAAGAAAAAAAATGTTTTTTGAATTGAGCTGGCATTAACCGTACAGATTAAAGACCTGGTGACTGACAGAGAGAGTAGCAGAAACATTTTTGTTAATTGCAATGGATTGTTTTCAAATGTTTGGAGGCAAAACCAAGTTGTTATGAACAGGGAGAGGTAAAGAATTTTTTTTTCCACTTTTGGTAAGGTCTCTTCTTCAGTCGAGATAAAATATATATGGGTAGATATTGTGAAGAAAAAGTCTTAATATTGTTTTGTTTTAGGAGCTGAAGATGAAGACAGTACAGTGATGACAACATCTAGAACACTTCCAAAGATAACAACTAGTGATGCACCTAAAGCTGAGACAACCACACTGAAAACACAGACCAAGATACCTGCACAAACAAAGGTTTGTGAGCAGTTTGTAAGCAGTACAGCACAGCAGTACTTTTTAGGTGGTTCTAAAAATATAATTCTGTATACTTTAATGATGACTTGAAAATATACTTAATTGATTGCTCTAGCTAGAAACTTATCACCATTTGAAAAAAAAATTACTAAAATTTCTCAAGTGATATTGAGGTGTTTCAACTTTCTGTAGGCAGTTTATATGCTAACTTTTGGATTTCATGATAAAGAAGATCAAGGACAAGAGAACACGACTTCTCAGTAACACATAGGTATAGGTGAACATAAAGAACATACAGTTTTAACCATTTGTTCTTCTGTTTCTGGGGTAAGCTTTCTGCTAAAACTCAAGGTTGTGTGCCTTCATTATATTTCTAAAAATATAGATTTAAGGATTGCATGGTTATGGCAAGAATTCCCCTTCATACTTACAAGCCTCTTAAGTTGGAGGCGTGTCAGCAGGGCATTGTGGGGATATGTATGCTACCGCTGCCTGTGTTATACTGCTACTTTGCCTGGAGAAACAACTGTGGTTGTTTGATAAGTGATTTTTGGATGCCCACCTTGACTCATGCATGGTAAAAGTTTGCTTTGGAAAGCAGTTTCCCTCATCAATTGGTCCATTTTCAGAGTGTATCAGGTTGGTTACTGGTGACTTTAGAGCATTTTTCATTGTAGTTGTGAAGGTCATTGAATTTTCATGAGAACTAAACGTCATTACCCTATATTTTACTTCCTCATATAGAAATCAAATAGAATTGTATTAAAAATGCAAGTGCACAGACCCATTTTAATAGGGTGAGTGCTGAATTTTTATTGTTGATATTGTATGCTGTGTCTAGTAAAATGTGAGCAGAAGCTGAAGTTTCTTTTTAGAAAAGCAAACCTGATCAGTTATTACTATTAAATAATCCTGGCATTTGAAAGTACTGAACTTGATACCATTTTAAATAGGTTAATGTTTATCTTTTATTCTGTCTAGTTTTAATGTGTTTGGCAGAAGCATGAAGCTTTTGGGCAGACAACAAAATAAGCAGTTAAATTTCTATACACAAAATGAAGTTTGTGTTGTTTGCTGCTGTGTATAATCCTCTTCCTGTGTTAATACTATTTTATGAGATGAGCAGAGAAGGGAAGAGGCAGAACTCCAAAGACCTTGGAGGTGACAACTTAAACTATACCTTAATTAGTGTAGAAATGTAAAACAGAGAGTCAGCTAACCTAAAATAGTAGGCATATAGGTGCAATCCCACAACAACAGCAAACTTGCTGGTAAACCTCAGGGAAAGGTTAGTTTGCACCCTTGTCAGTAAATGAAATGGGGATGGTTCCTGGGAGCAACAGTTAGCTGCACCACTAAATATCAGGCGTCAACCAATTAGTTATTGATAGAACACTGTTTAAGTGAGGCCTTCTTGAGTGAAATGCGTCTCTTCACATAGCACTACAGAATATTCAGCCTAGCTTTTTGTAAAACCAGCTTGGATGCCTCATCCTATCTTGCAGTGAAAATCTCTAATGATGGTGAATCCACAGCCACCTTAATGAGGCCTCATTGACTTCATTCTGGCTTTCCTAGGATTAGTTATCCTTCCTAACTGTGTGCTTAGCATGACTGCTTGTTTGCTTTTTTAAAATTGGTTCCGTCGGATTAACCTAGTAAGTAAGGGGAAGGCTATTGTTGAATCAAAGCAATCTGAGTTGAATCAAAGCTAATCAAGAGTGCCTCCCTTCCAGGGATGTGGCCTCCAGACAGAGGTAGCATTTTAAATGACTACATAGAGGGTGTTTCTACATGTTCTGATTTTAAGGTGCTAAATTCCAATTTAAGGCGCATTAAAGGTGCGTGTCTACACATTTGTGTCCTTAATGCACCTTAAAAATGAAAATTGTAGGCTATTTATAGCTAAATTTGATGCCTGTAAAAGCACAGATGGCTAAAAGGTATTAAAGCACATGAAGACACATTAAAGCACATTAATGCTGAGTATGGACTCACATGGGACTACCTCTCCCACATCAGTTCACGCACACAGTGTTAATGCACTTTAACGTGTGCACGTGTTGACATGAGCCTATATTACCTTCAACGTGATGCAGTTGTATTGATTTATAGTATGTTTACCACACATCCCTATTATTAAAAAATTACATTCTTTGTGTTATGACGCATGCAGATTGAATTACAATTTTCTGATGCCAGTATGAAAGGAGTGACATTTCACACTTCCCTTGTGTAATATGAGCTTTACGTTTTAATTTCTTTTCTTACCATAGTCACCTGAAGAAACTGACAAAGAGAAAATGCCTGAGACGAAATCTAAAACTAAAGATGAGCTAAGTGATGACACTGATGTATTTACCGAGAAGCACTCAGAAAACCTTTTTCAGAGAACAGAAGTACTGGCAGGTAAGGAGCCAACAAGTCAATCCCATTCTTAACATGTTTACAGGAAAACATATAGACAGTATAGAGACGTTACATGCAGAATAATATAGATGTCAAAATTCATATTTCCCCCTGAGCATCACAAGCACCTGCAGAACAGCCACTGTTTCCCGAGGAGAATTAGATGCGACTATTCCAGAGTTCTTTAATCAGGAGCCAAGCTTTTTTTGCTGATTTATTTGCAATGTATTGTCTTCCTAAAGTTGAATACTGCCTCGTGAGTATTGTTGGCTTCCCAAACTCAAAGTCAGAAAGTTGCAATTCAAACTTGCTTTCAAATGATCCTCCAAGATACTTGCTGGGCAAAGATCTATACAAAGATCTATACTACTTCATCTCTGTTTCTTGCATACTCAGTCTGGGAAATGCTGTGTGGGGCACAAAGGGAAATATTGCCATAAAGAAAGTTGCAACTTGCACTGCAGGGGGGCTGTTTGTTTAATAGCTTGTTAGCTCCATGTGTGGTAATAAACCTTGAGCTAATTCTTGTTCCCCATGCTAGATGCCTAAGTAAAATCATATTCCATCCTCCTGGCATCTTGGAAAAGGTGTAATCACCTCTAGGTTTATAACATGCTTCCACCTTAGCCTTAGGATTAAGTCACAAAAAGCAGTGAACTGGAGCAAGATCCACGCACCTTTGCTTGTATTAATGTTTTACTCAGGGATTCAAGTGGGATTGAATGGAATTGCACTTACCACACTAATGCACACAGTAGAATGTCTCTAGTTGTTTGTGTCTTCTGATAATGGTAACCTCCAACTGATTGACGCATGGCATATAAAGTGGGCCTAGAATTGCGATTATTTATACTCCATGCCACAAAAAAGGGTGTTGGCATTTCATAGTTTCATAGTAGCTAGGGTCAGGAGGGACCTGAACAGATCATCTAGCCTGACCCCCTGC